TGTTTATGCCGGTTTGTGTGTGTGTGTGTCACATGTGTGTGTCTGTGTGTGTGTATCTGCGTGTGTGATTGGGTATGTGCGCGTATGTCTGTTTGTGTGTGTGTGTCTGCATTTGTTTATATGGGTGTGTCTGTGTGTGTATATTTGTATGTTTGTATGTGTATGGAATGTGCGTGTCTGTGTGGGTATGTAAGTATGTATGTGGGAGAATGGGGTGTGTTTATGTGTGTGTGAAGGTAAGTGGGTGTGTTTAAGTGTGTGTGTGTGTGTGTGTGTGTGTGTGTGTGTGTGCATTTTACCACCCATGCTTTTGTGCTTTTTTCTTCACTTTTTTGATATTCATAATATGCATATTATCATATAAATATGACATGCTCATTGATAAAATACAGCTGCAGTGTGAAAGACGGGTGTTTGGAAGGGCCGAATGTAAGACGGGCCTGAGTGCCCAATTTGTGACCCTTTGAAAATAAAGTTCGTTCGTTCGTTCGTTGTGTATGTCTAGTGACCATTTACATTTAACTCCTGTGAGTGTTTATTGTAGGGGCCCTAGCACACTAATTTGCTCAGGGGACCACAATGCTCTGTGAAAGGGGGCACCAAAATCTATTTAGTGCTTTGGGCATCCAGTGATCTTAATCAGACACTGATCTCATGTAAAACAATAGTACGACTACTTAAGTACTAGCTGTCAGTACCCTCACATACGACTGCAGGTGAGTAGACCCAAACATCTGAACTTGGAAGGAAAACACAAGCAGTGGGGGGGGGGGGGGGGGGGGGGGGACCTAGATATTTTCGAAAGTTCATTGAAATTTCAAAGAGACCACACCATAAATAAAGAAGCTTACCGTTTCATCACTCAACACATTGACAACCGTGCACTTCTTTGAACAAAGATATGCTGCGGGAAATGTAATGATGCGAACAAATAACAACATCTACAGGCCTCTTCAAGGCGATACTGTAGGACTCTGATGATAGAAGAGAAGAAGTGACAGAAGAAGAAAGACATGGATGCAGAATTTGACTGAATGGACCGATCTCAAACATAGAAGCGTCAAGTCCATTGCTTCTGACCGACGGTTTTGGAGAGAGCTGATCAGACAGTCAACTGCCACTGGTGACCCAACGACACGCTAAATTATGGGACTCAGATGATGAATTACACGAAGAGACAGAGTCACAAACGTCAGCATTAGAGACAAAGTTGGAACAAGAGCATGCATGGAACATATTGAAAGACAGAGAATGAAGTGGTTTGGCCATTTAGTAAGAATGCAACCTGATCAGATTGCCTATAAGGCCTTTTACAGTAGAACATCGGGAAGAAAGGCCAGAGGAAGACCCAGGAAAAAATGGATAGATGGAGCAGCTGAATACGGCCAGAAGATCCAGAAAACAGTCACTCAAATCACGCGAGAGGCACAAAACAAATATTTTAAACCACGACACTGGGCTGCAACCTGGTAAAAGTGAAGAAGACAATAGATAGATAGATAAATAAATGATGAATAAATCTGATTCAAAGCTTCAGATTTTGTTAATGTAAATATTGTTTGTTACTTCAGGATGTATAGTGCGCCCTGTTACATAATAAAGTATGGATCATTGACTAAGCCGATTATACTGGCGATAATTATGATAATACCCTGGCCTCCAAGATACCGGATATAGTTGTAGTTAAGTACCCGGATCTGACTGCGCATGTCGATGAGCACCATTTTCTGGTAGGCGCGGATTGTTTCGAGAAGTTAGTACGTCATCACTGCATCCATTGGTAAACAACGACTTCCGCCTGGTTCTAAACATCATGATCTGATACAAACACATAAGAAATGGATGAATTCATATAATGTCGCGTCCGATTTCAAGTGCTTCGCAACGCCCTCAATATACCATATTCCAAGAAGCTGGATAATTATTTAAGCATCCTGAATTGTCGTATGCATCTGTAATGTGGACCCAGATGTTTCGATAGAGGCGATGGCTCGAAGACAACTTATCACAAACATCAGAAAGAGGCCGTCATAATTATTTGGTCATTTTATGAGAACAAGGAATCTGGAACTTGTCGTGACCACTGGCCAGATTTGTGGAAAGATGGACAGGTGAAGACAGTTCGAGAAGAGTCATTTTCAGCGCTACTTTGTCTTCTTCTTCTTTACGTCCTCTTTTACCACTTCAGATGTCGAGGGAGATATACAGTCCTGCTTCGTGCTCTTCTAGCTGCTTCGACCATAGACACATCGTGGTCCTGTAGTTTCTCTGATGTTATCTTTCCATTTGTTCTTGGTCTACATCTTGCTCCTCTCCTCCTCACCAAGCGCTACTTGGTGGCGAGCAAAACTAAGCCATTTTATATTGCGGATATAACCTTGTCACAGTTACAACGTAAAGCTTCCCATTTGGGAATCTGGTTGAACGTGAGGATATTTTTTTCCGCAAAACAAGCCAAACCATGACCAGCCCCAGCTGACGGGCCGTGCTGCTAATGTCACCGGGTCGGGCTAACGATACGTTAACGCAGCGGTTCTCAAATATGAAAAAAACTATTTCCGACAGTGGCGAGGAAAGCCAACCTACATTTTAACTTTCAAGTATCTACATGCCTTCTTTAATAATTTCACAAGTTTAAGCCGACTTTTCTTGATTATTGCCGCGGCACCCCTGACATACGCTCACGGCAACCCCAGGGTCGGCATCCAGTTTGTATTGATGCATTGTTAGCCCGACCCGGTGAAGTCAGCAGCACGGCCCGTCAGGTGGAGCCGGTCGGGGCCAACCAAACTAAACGCGAACGGGTCTTTCTAGTCACACTTGTCCTTGCCACGGGCTTTGATTTCTATGCATCCATATTGCTTGATATGAACACAATCGTCTGGAAAGGTGCAGCCGCAAACAAATTTCTAACAATCATTTAACAAGAAAACAAAATTCGTCTCCGAGTTTTAGTGCTATCATTTTGTTGGTCGTTTTTTCGAGTTCATTTTTGTGAAAAGACTTTCCCAGTCACATCGTTAACTCTTTGAGTCCCAGGGGGTTTAGCATCACAGGCCCAAGGGGTAGTCAAGAGAGGCATAAAATTGACGCATGTTGCGTTCATTCGTCTTCGAGGTAGGAATTTATGAACGTATGATGCGTTCCTTGGGACTCAAAGAGTTAATAAAAAGCAAACCGAGAAATCGTGGTTGTAAGTACAGCGCTCTAGCCACGCATACACGATTGTCTAACTTCTAAGCAGCAGCAGACACAAGGACAAAATGATAAAGGTAATGAACTGGACGGAGGATGATTTACGAGGAAACGTCAAGAAGACAATGGCAAGAGGGACCCAGTGGGACACGGTCATAAAGGAGCGGTCCAACTACTAGGATAAGAACATAAAGCCATAGAGCTGGCTCACATACCACAATCAAAGACACACAAGCAGCGCAAATAAACCAGACCACAAATATAACCTGAGGCTGTTGGCAGCTCGCAAAAGTAATTGAGGTGATAATAATTAATACGATGATGACAATATTGATAAGGATAAGAACACACATGCCATTCCCGACAACTCTAGCGATTCTTCGTTGAATATAACCTGTACGAAAATTATCAGTGACCCTCGCTTACTCCCCCTTTTCCAGCCAAGCCTTACCTAACGACCACACACTGAATCTCAAGATGGAAGGCATTCATAGAACCACACCAGCGACAGATGTGAACTAATTAACTTCTAATGAAGCCAGCTTGCCCCTATAGCACTTACGCGAACCCCATCCCCTCTGTCCTTCCAGCCACTCATCTTTCACAGAGTGGTCACATGTACTCTAGCATGCGTGTTAAACTTATGTAACTGTAATGATTAACAAAATATAAGCTGATCGTTTGTATGCATACATAGGTGCCTGCTTGTATACGTGTGTGTATGCCCGTCAATACGTACGTATAGATATATCTATCCATCTAGACAGGGAGACAAATAGACAGACAGAGAGACAGAGCCAAACTAAGAAACACTAAAGGTGCCCCACAGAAAAAGAAAAAAAAAAAATAAACACCCCAGGTATCCTATAAACACAAACATCCACACACAAAAGTTGAGATTGGTTCTGCAAAGTCCTGTGAAGGATACGAAACTAACAAAAACAAAACAGAGACGCTTCCCTGTCGACCCCCAACATCCGCATCGATGAGTAGGATTAGTAAACATTGTCTCCCAGGTCGATCTGGCCTAAATGAGAGTCACGTAATGTTAAGGGAAGTAAAGGCAGCAGGCAGGATGTGACCACATCGCCCATCGAATACTAATAGTCTGTAGCTTAGGCGTTGCGAACGCGCTTCGTATACCTGGGATGCTGGGTTCGATCCCTGCTGCGGACTGTTTGTCTTGCACTGGTTCCGACAGTGGTACCGAGAGCTGACCGTTCAATGACAATGGCAAACTACTGAAAGTAAAATTTGCCTGGAAAACGACAACAGCCACAAAATGCTGGAGTTGGATCTACAATGTTATGTAAAGGATACGCAACTAACTTTAACTATGAAAACATGAGTCCAAGACTTAATATTATATTTGTTGCCATCCAGTCAAACGTTTAAAAAAGAAAACGTTTTTTAATGACACAACAAACACTCGTTTTTGCTTCTTCATATTCACCACGGAAAGCGATGACACATTTCCTACTTGTGACAAGCTGCTTGGTAATTCAGTTAACGGAACAAAAGCTCAAGAGTGACACAAGCCAGGCCAACCAGGCATGTATAAAAGCTCTTGGCCTTTCACTAAGGGCCAGCAGTTTCGGCCAGCACGGAAAGTGAACCACTTTGATTAAAAGCGAGAAAAGAATTATTGATGTTTATATCACTATAAATTATCGTTTTGGAAAACATAATTACTTATGCCATGTTTTTTATTTGTTTAAACTAGAAAAAAAAGTTGTGTTTTTTTTTCAGTATAAAAATTAAAATTATTGCTGGAACACAAGTTGCTTTTGGTTTCAAAGCCAAAGATGAACGATATATTTAAGGACTATACATCGTGCCAAAGTTGCAACACATCAGGACATTTTTCAGAGATAGTCTTTCGGAGATTAAAATCAACCGCTTCATCGCTTCAGGTTGTGACAAAAACAAAGAAGATGTTATCAAAACATACCTCATCGTCAGAGTTTTTATGTAACGATTCGCAAGGGTCCATACGTCAGTCTGCCTCAGCGCTGAGATGTTCACTTGTGCCTTCATCGTTGTGGTACAGGTGGTTGTTGTGCTGGGTGTTGATGTTTTCGGTTGTGGTTCGCTGTCAAGGACAGGATGTGGCGGAGCATGGGAGCACAGACACAGAGACCGTGGATGTGAGTATGGACTGGATCTCTTAAAGGAGAACAGTTGTTGCTCTTTCATATTCGTTTTTTGGTGTTGCTCTTCTCCTCCTCCTCCTCCTCCTCCTCCTCCTCCTCCTCCTCATCATCATCATCATCATCATCTTCATCTTCTTCTTCTTCTTCTTCTTCTTCTTCTTCTTCTTCTTCTTCTTCTTCTTCTTCTTCTTCTTCAGAAAAGACGACCAGTCTGGCGTGGACCATATTACTCGATTTCTCTCTATATAAACACATAAACTCTAGCTTATATACTAGATGCGCCTCTGGTATAGAAGGGCTCCTTAGCTTTACTTTTATTTTGTTTATTTTTTTTTAAATAATTTTATGTTTATTTTTTAGGTTTGCCCCCTACAGATTTGCATATGCAAATCACAGAAAACCCATGTTCAACCGTATAACCATACAGTACAGTTATATTGGGGGACCACAGAACGGTTTCGAAGTCGTCCCCTCGCGGGATGCAATTTTTTGTTTGAAGCCCCACCCTGGCTTCTGCCGGGGGTCCTGAATAAAGCCGGGAAATAGATATGGCCTATCCATAGATATGACCTAACGGCTGAAAGGGGTTTATGAGACCTCTCCACGGGTGATCCTCATCCGCATGGTGGCACTTTGTGTCACCGGGTGTTTATCGCTTGTGTGATGTCCTGGGAGGGGGGGGGGGGGACAACTACCTACCTACCCAACGGCTTTGAAGTAACCTGTAACCTATGTGGGTGGGATTAAGTATATATATATATATTTATATACATGTCTGTGTGTGTGTATCACGAAGGCACAAATAGAAGAGTACATAATTTCTTTATCACAAACGAGACCACAATATGTTTATACTAGAAGTAAATATTGTTTGGATGTCTCCCAGAAATATTTGTCGACGTTCGGATATTATTCTCAAAACCCCGGCGAGACACAGAATCAGGCAATATCTAGATCTGCATCCGAGTCAGAGGTCACGTCTGCACATTCAGAAGTGGAACGTAGCCGCGCAATCAGGTAATTTGTGGTTTTGATTTGACCTATTTATGATGTAATAATTCTTCTTCTTCTTCGCGTTCACCAGCTGTATACTCTGGCAGAAAGTTCTGGTTGCTCGTCCACTACTGAACTGCAGTCCTGCTCCAGAACCTGAGTGTTGCGTGTGCATCAGTTTTACAGATCTCATTCTCTTGAATACAGACTGTTGGTTCGTTGCCTCTCAGGCAGATGCACTTCGACTTCAAAGGAAGCTCCCCAATTAGTCGTCTTTTACGACATGCTTTTGGGGAGGCAGTGGGTCTATTCTTGTTTTCACCACAATGGGGCCCCGGAACCCATACGGGGGGATGTAATAATTGTTTCGGTACTTCCACGTGGGGGGGGGGGGGGGGGGTGCAGGAGCCTAATTTTTGAGGGTATGGGGATGGGGGAGAATAGATTTGCTATGACCCTAACATTCATGTCATCAAAGGTGAATAATTCGGGTTTTAATTAAAATAAGACAGAAATGGTAGTAATAGCAGTAATAATAGCAACAGCAGCAGCAACAGTAGTAGTAGTAGTAGTAGTAGTAGTAGTAGTAGTAGTAGTAGTAGTAGTAGTAGTAGTAGTAGTAGTAGTAGTAGTAGTAGCAGTAGAAGTAGTAGTAGTAGCAGCAGCTGTAGCGGCAGTAGTAGTAGTAGCAGTAATAGTAGTAGTGGTATATTCAAGGGGGTCCCACTGGCAGAAAGTTGAAAAGCACTGGCTAATAAAAATCGAGGGTTAGCACCACACACTTGGCATCAACGGTACGGTACGGGTTAGTTCTACCGACCAGAAGGTCTAGGGTACAAACCGCATCGAGACCTACTTATCTTCTTCAAAACCGACCTTGGTTCCCAGGTCGAACTAACCCTAAATGGTTACCAGGTAAACTGTGGGAAGTCGGATGTTGACCATCTTACCGACCGACGACTGGCCTCTATACAAACTTGGGCTATCCTCCGAATAACGGTCGTAAATTATCGAGGCGGAAAATATACCCTAGCAGGGCCTCAGTCACGTGTCAATTGCGCACTTCCGGGGACTATAACGCCACCGCCGAATTGCGAATTTTCGGCAACTTTCGCCACCGCCGAGAGTGTCCAAAACGCCGCTCACGCGGCGTGGATTGGGGCTAAACTAGAGGCTAGGACTCACGAGCAAATAAAATGAAGGAAGCTGCAGGAGATGCGGTAGCTGCTGCTCGTGAGTCCTAGCCATCTAGTTTAGCCCCAATACACGCCGCTTGAGCGGCGTGGTGGATAATCTCGGCGATGGCGGGAGTTGCCGGAAATTCGCAATTCGGCGGTGGCGTTATAGTCCCCGGAAGAGCGCAATTGACACGTGAATGAGATCCTGTTAGGGTATATTTTTCTTCTCAGTAATTTACGACCGTTATTCAGAGGATAGCCTAAATTTGAGTCTTGAATCATATGCCCGATTGGCCAAGGGCGTAAAAAGGACAGTTAACTTTACTGTCACCGTGCACTCAGTAGGTCCCAAAAGTCAGCTCAGCTTTTCTCGTAGGAATCGACTTATTTCGGGCTTCCTTCGAAGTCGGAGTGCATCTGCCTGAGCAAGGAGCAAACAGCTGCACGCAAATAAGCCCGTGAAATGGATGTACACGCAAAACTCAGGCCCTGGTACAAAGCCAAAGTCCACACAGAAGAAGAAGAAGAAGAAGAAGAAGAAGAAGAAGAAGAAGAAGAAGAAGAAGAAGAAAAAAAAAAGAAAGAAAAAGAAATCTCTGTCGAAACGATTTAAAAATTTGCCATAAGCTCTCGGGTTAATGCCGCTTAAATTTGGTTCAGGGAATGTTATTATTGGAAACAAAAGTGGTCGGCAAGATTGTGGTAATATCACCCATAAAGTGCCGATTGAACATGACCACCCCCAGGACCCCCCCCCCCTCCCGCCCCAAGATAGCATCACACCTTATTGGCTTGGAGGCCTATCAAAAGATCGTTCATTTGAATTTATTCCACAGGCGCCTACAGTCTTTCTTCCATCTACCCGTGAATGGACAGCTGGACGTTGACACCAAGAAGATCATGGGGTCAGCCAGGTGTGGCCGCAAGGACATCGAAGCTGGTGATGAACCAACAGGCGGCAGAGTTGTCAAGGTTCTACAGCCTGGGAGCAGGAGGAGGGTCAAACGTTACACCGTCAACAGATACCCTGGTAAGTTGGTAATGACTTGGTAGTGATGGTTGGTAGTATTTGTTGGTAGTGATGGTTAGTAGTGTTGTCAGACAGGGACAGAGAAAGAAAGAAAGAAAGAAAGAAAGAAAGAAAGAAAGAAAGAAAGAAAGAAAGAAAGAAAGAAAGAAAGAAAGAAAGAAAGAAAGAAAGAAAGAAAGAAAGAAAGAAAGAAAGAAAGAAAGAAAGAAAAAAGAAAGAAAGAAAGAAAAAAGAAAGAAAGAAAGAAAAAAGAAAGAAAGAAAGAAAGAAAAAAGAAGGAGAAAAAAGGACAAAGGAAAGAAAGAGAGAACGAGAGAAGAAAGAAAGAGAGAGAGAGAGAAAGAGGGAAAGAAAGAAAGAAAGAAAGAAAGAAAGAAAGAAAGAAAGAAAGAAAGAAAGAAAGAAAGAAAGAAAGAAAGAAAGAAAGAAAGAAAGAAAGAAAGAAAGAAAGAAAGAAAGAAAGAAAGAAAGAAAGAAAGAAAGAAAGAAAGAAAGAAAGAAAGTTTTATAGGCAAAGGTCCGAAAAAAAGGATACTTTTTCAAAATGAGTGAACTGTGGCGAAGCGGAACGGAGAAAATAACAATTGACTTATATAGATAAGGAGAGGGGTGGGGGTTAAAAAAATACAGACCGTCAGAAATGACTCAGTTGAAGAATGTTTAAAGTTCATCATTAGTGTATTAAAGTTGATAACACTGCCAATTATTTTGCCTAGCTATAAATCGTTTCGGTGAGGTTTTTTACTGACTGTCGTTTTCTTATTGTTTTACTATTTGGTTCCAACAGATGGAACCCTGGCCAATTGGAACGTCTCACAGCTAACCTGGAGAATTTCTCGTCCATCCCGGCAACTCTCCGAGGCGCAGCAAAGGTATGACTTCTCTTATCACCTATGTCAGTCGTTAGTGCAGTCGATAGGAAACTCACTATCAAATCGAGCTGCGACTCCCTGCAGCCCACGACCGGTGTTCGAAACCGGGCGGTTCCCAGGGTTCACCCAGCCTCTAGGTAATGGGTACCCGAGTTAACACTCAGGGGTAAATGGAGGAACGTCGCTGTAGCTACGGAGTTGCGTGAGGACGGCGACACAGGCGGACAGTTTCTTATCAGCGTTCTGTATTGGTGGCAGAGTACTTATAGTTTATAACCTTGTGCAGTGAAGCTGGTTCACATCTCCCGACTTTAACTTTTTTTTTAACCTTTAGTTAATTAAGGTTGCAAATTAATGCGAAGATGTTAATTATCAAAAAATGGTGGATGAGGGGGGAAATACAAAAGAATCAATAGTATAACATTTTGAAATTTGAACAAGTATCTAATAATTCTCAACAGGTAGTATCACCTCTGTGGGTTCTATATCGTCTCTCCCCCCTTCCCTCCCCCAAAGGAAGCAACATAAACTGTTGGCCGTAGGCAGGGCATGGCCTCGCGAGACTCGTCCCTAGAAGGAGTGCAGTGGATTTGGTCTTTCCCAATCCATAAAAAAAAGAAAATATGTTTGGAGATGGCGAAAACCTGGGGAGAAAAACAAAAACTGATGACTTCGCAAAAGTGATAGACGCAGTTACTTGTGAACTAACAAAGAAAAATTAAATGTTTAAATGTCAGATACCCAGAGGACATGGCCGTAGCATCATTGTATATTGTTTTGGTTTGCAAACAATCATTGCATTGTTCAACCTCGTGGGTTCACAGAGTGCGGACACTTTTGGGTATCGTTGTCCTTTCAAAATACCATCTTCGTCTTTTCGTACGTTGCGGTGTCGCGTTAAAATGTAAACAGCGGAAGAATGCCCACTTGTACGCTTTGTCAATAGGCGTTCCCAGATAATAATATTGCTTCTATCCATCGTTTACATGGACAGCCTTTCTTTCAATTTTAACTTGGCCTACACTCCATTATTAAATACTGCTTGTTGGTAGTCGTCAAATTACCGCACCCTTTCAATTGTTTTCTAATTGAAATCTAGCGCTGTTGTTACATCTGTTAGTCAGATTTTATCATCATTTGTGATCGAAGTGTCGGGGGGAGATGTAATATTCGTTGATGAGCTTTGACAAGAGCACTATTAAGACTGATGTTCATTTCTGTAAAGCTGTTCCTAATGCCATCACTCCGTATTTCCGGGGTCTTCCACTCGCTCTATACCCGTTGTAACGTTTTAGTGGAGCTCGCTGTGGCGGATAGTACCAGGGCATTCGTGTTAGGTGTCCAAACCACTTAATTTGTTGTTCTTTGACGACTTGTAAGACTGACTTTATTCCTAGCGTTCCTGTGATTTCGTGTTCTGTCTGTCCTTGAAACTCCCGCAGCTCTTCTAAGGCATTTCATATCTGTTGTCACAATTTAAAAGGTACAAACCATATACATCCTAAGGACATTGTCAGAAAGAGCTATAGAAGTAGAGACTGATTTGTACTTATGCTTCATAGACTATACAAAAGCATTTGACTGTGTGAAGCAGAAGGAATTAATTAAACTGTATGAATAATTGAAGATTGATGGAAAAGATCTACGAATAATAAAGAATATGTATTGGCAGCAAACAGCAGCTATAAGAATTAACAACTGTTTAGGTACATTTAAGAATATAAAGAGGGGCGTACGACAATGATGTGTACTTTCATCTGACTTGTTTTCACTATACAGTAAATATATAATGAGATCTATAATTGATATGCCCGGAATTGTGGTTGGTGGGCACAATATAAACAATTTACGTTTTGCTGATGACACAGTCTTGATAGCAACAAGTCAGAAAGAACTACAGGAAATGATAGACATTGTAGTGATAGAAAGTGGAAGAATTGGCCTCAGTTTGAATAATTGGAAGACAGAAGTAATGGTGGTATCAAAGAAACTAATTATTCCTTAATGTGTAATAAATGTCGATGGTGTTATTTTTGGACAAGTACAGAAATTTAAGTATCTGGGCACATGGCTAACATCAGATGGAAGATGCATAACTGAGATAAGAAACAGAATAGGACAGGCAAAAACTGCATTTTATAAAATGAAGAACATCTTATGCAATATATCTTTGCAATTGAAAGTTTTTCGATTTTCAAGTTGTATGCTCTTGCTGCTGGCATCGTTGGTTTCATTCTCATTAAATGGCCAAACCATTTTATTCTTGGTTTCCCAATAAATTTGACAATAGGCGTTGTTCCACCAGTTATTGTGATCACGTCGTTTTTCACTCAATCTCTTCTGGTTTTATTCACAGCCAGTCTCAAACATCTCATCTCACAGATGGTTTTCTCTTGTGTTCTTCTGTCAATGTCCAAGTCTGACACTGGTAACCTGAAATCGGTATACATTTTGTATTTATAATTTGTCTTTTGTCTCTGTTTAGATGTAATGTCCAATATGTATATAAAATTAACTAACACATTTTCATGTTTATTTCAGGGAGATAGTCCGCACCTCACTAGCCATGTGGGCGGAGTACATGCCCATTAAATTTATGGAGGAGAGAGGCCAAGAGACACCAGACATTGACATCCAATTTGCCAGGGGAGAACACGGTCCAAAACCGGACCCCATTTTTGATGGTAATCGTAAGTAGGATCTTTATTTGGCTTTTAATTTAAACAATCGCATTTAATGTCAGACCAGTTTCCATCTTTCTTTCTTTATTATTTTCCACGAGTCAGAAGATACTAGTAATGATTGTTGCATACATGTAAGTTCTGGAGTCTCATTGTGGCTGGAGACGTGGGTGGGGGAGAGGGAACCAGGCCCACTGCCTGCTCAACAAGATGTAAGAGTCGACTAATTATGGGTTTCCTTCAAAGTCAGAGGGCATCTGTCTAAGAGGCAAGTAACCAACAGTCTACATGCAAATAAGACAGATCTATAAAACGGTTGTGCACGCTAAATTCAAGTTCTGGAACAAAGCTTAAGTCCAGGCAAGTCATTACTAACCATTCTTTTGTGAGGTGCAATTTTTCACTTTTTGAAGCCCCACCCTGGCTCTTGTCAGGGGCCGCAATAATAGCCCGGCCATAAATATTGTCAAATGGCTGAACGCTGTTTCCGGGACCTCTCCACGAGTGATCATTATCCACATGGAGGCAATTTGTGTCATTGGGTGTTTATCGCTTGTGTGATGTCCTAGTGGAGTAAAATGTACTACTACTAAATTCCAGTAATCGACAAACAACCAGAACTTTCCATCGGAGTTTACAGCCTGTGAATGCCAAGAAGAGGAAGAAGAGGAAGAAGAAGAAGAAAAAGAAGAAGAGGAAGAACTGTGTTTGTCTGATTAGGAATGAACAGGTTTCCCCTGCTCTTTCTGAAATACAATTTAAAGGAAGATAAACTGGGTTTTTTTAAAGTTATGTTGCACATGCTGTGTTAAGTCCCTCTTTATCCCCTGTCCACAGCTAAACAATCATTGAATATTCTGGCACACGCCTGGGGACCTGGCTACAACATCAAAGGTCTGGCTGGTGATGTCCACTTTGATGAAGATGACGACTGGAAAGATTACAACACTCTGCTGGGTGTCGCTGTTCACGAACTGGGACATTCTATGGGTTTGGGACATTCTGAAGATGAATCTGCCATAATGTACCCAGTGTACAGAAGTGTGGTTGCTCTAGCACAGGATGATATCGACGGAATTACGCTAATGTACGGTAAGTTGTTGGTTATTTGTGCCGTTTCTAAGAAAACATGTACTGAGGTCGAATTGTGCGAACAAGATGCAGGTGATCACGTTGCAGATTACTGATATAAGAATCGACATCAAGTCACACAGGGCATACCCATATATGCCAGGTAATTGACAGTTTGGTGGCCATAGCTAGTTAGTCTAAAATAGTTTAATCTGTTGCTACAGCAATGAAAGCATCAGCATATCATAATCTTTTCTTTATCTTCATGTTCACCGGCTGTAAACTTCAATGAAAAGTTCTGGATGTTTATCCACTTTTGGACTTTAGTCTTGTTCCAACACTTGAGTGTTGTTGCCTACACACCCATTTTACAGATCTGACTTATTTGGTTCCCAGCCTCTCAGGCAGATGCATTCTGACTTCAAAGAAAACTCCTAATTATTCAATTTTTACATCATGCTTGTTAGGAGACAGTGAATCTCTTCATGTTCTCCCCACACCACACACACACACCACCCACACCCACACACAATGGAGCCCTGGAACACACACACAGGTTATCTCTAATATGATATTCATTTGTTAATGTGTCCACACTAAAATGCTTCCTTCCCTAGCTGTTTATATGTGTTTATCAATGCCTATTTATTTAAGACCAGATAAACATCATATGCTTTTCATTAAGACTGTGTTAAAGTTATTTAATAACTGTGTCATTTCAGGATCTGGTGCAGGGACCAGACCACGACCAAGGACACAGGCTCCTCCCGTTTGGACTTACAAGCCTGATCCAAGGTACATAACTGAAAGGCCTGACCCAAGACATAGGACTGAAAGGCCTGACCCAAGGTTCATAACTGAAAGGCCTGACCCAAGACATAGGACTGAGAGGCCTGACCCAAGGTACATAACTGAAAGGCCTGACCCAAGACATAGGACTGAGAGGCCTGACCCAAGGTACATAACTGAAAGGCCTGACCCAAGAGATAGAACTGAAAGGCCTGACCCAAGATACAGAACTGAAAGGCCTGACCCAAGATACAGAACTGAAAGGCCTGACCCAAGATACAGAACTGAAAGGCCTGACCCAAGACATAGAACTGAGAGGCCTGACCCAAGATACAGAACTGAAAGGCCTGACCCAAGACATAGAACTGAGAGGCCTGACCCAAGATACAGAACTGAAAGGCCCTGACCCAAGACATAGAACAGAGCGACCTGATCCCAGACATCGGACTGAACGCCCAGACCAAAGGTACCCAACTTTCTACAGAGCTGTTGCCCTTCATTAATTGTTTTCATCTGATCCTTCATTTGTTTCTTGACATCTGTATATGTGTGTGTCTTTTTTGCCTATCCATCCACCACTTTGTCTGTCTATTGTATATATTCAGTCTATGTTTGACCTTTATATATATGTATGTATATTGTAATGTTACTACATTATAAACAAGTTTTAAAAAAAGAGAACAGTTATCTAATTGAGCATGTTTATTAGTTGATGGGAAAACCTGTACACCTAAAAACTATCAATGACTCAAGTGCAAACCAGCCAATAGATTGGTTGATCCCTAATGTGTTTTTTGTGTGCAATTTGACCAGTTTCATTCATTACATTAGAAACATTTTGAATCTCAAAATTATCATAAAATTATGTTTCTTTCAGTAGTATATATTCCATTCCTTCCCTTACCTTTCATATGTTATCTTTCCTGCAAATACATAACAATACATACAGTTGCTTCACTCATCTACCACATCCTAACTCCTCCCTGTTATTTTCTACAGAACCAACGCTCCTTATTACACCCTTAAACCCGAATGGATCCACCCACCATCCACTCAGTTACCTGTGGACGAGTGTTCAACCATCAACGTGGATGCTGTCTTTGAAGGTGAGTACAATTGTCATGGAACATGTTTGCTCATAGTAATCAACAAGGAGTTCGGAACCAAAACTCAAACCCATTACAGAACAGTGCTAAAGTGTTTCTAGAAAGCTCAGTGTAGGGAATAAAGAAGACAACACACAAATACAACCAAACTTTTCGATTAAAGTGTTTATGGACAGAGTTTATGACCACCAAGGTTTGAGGAATTTCTTAGTTACTGTTATAAAATCTGGCTACGGTGATCAGACTAGCCGCTACTCCTTAGAAAATCATTTTATTCACAGTTTTTGGCATTCTCAGCCCTGGAGGGATTAATACTCAACAAAGCTATATTTAAAGTGATGACGTAAACAGGGGGTGACTGCAGTCAAGCTAAAAAATAAACATAAAACATGACCTTGATTGGGGGGGGGGGGGGAAGGAGGTATGAAAAGACACACACAAACACAACTGAACATTTTAACCAAAGTCTTTATCAACCGAGTACTAAATACAGCTCAAAATGTTACCGGAAAACTCAGCAAACATAACAGCAGAGCTCTAGTCACATTTTATGTTATGTTAAGTAGTTCTCAGTTATATTTAACTTTATTTAATGTTATTAATTTATTAAACTTGTTTATATTCCCTCTCTTTTTTTCAAACTCAGTTTGACTTATTCAATCACTGTTTATACAATTATAGCATGAACAATAGAAAAGAAAAATTACAACTGGAAAGAGATTCCTATGAAGGGCTTGTAATATAATAATAAAAGATAAGCTCAGGAATGATTAAATCCAAAGGAGAATGGGTGTAGAGGCAGCTCTGGATTTCATTACATGTCAACAGGGGAAATGGTTTGGCCATATGACCCAGATGTTAGATTTCATTTTCCACAACCAGTCAGTGAAAGTGATCTGTTACCACAACCAATCAGCATACATCTTCACTTCTATGTAAATTAGTATGCAAAGTAATATCATGTTTTGTTAATGTGCAGATCCAACTGCAATGATCGGGAGAAAGTACATCGCTGTCTCGGATGAGAATGTGCACACACTGACACAACATGGCGTTCTGGAGAAGTCTGAACTTCTGCAAGATGTCTACCCTGAAGTTCCTATTAACCCAGATGTTGGATTCTCAATTTACACAAAAAGAACTGTGTACTTCATCAAAGGTGAGAACTCATAGAATCTTGTGTGGTCATCAGGGGAGCTTTATCTTGAGTTTCAATGTTTATAATACTATTTTTGTGTGTGTGGTTTTTCTCGCCAATCAACCAATTCCATATTTAAGTGTATATACTGGCCAACTTTCATTTGATAAAATCAAAATAATACATGTGTCTTATTAATGTATTTTAAAATATTAATTTAGGCTACAATTGTTATAAATTAATTTAGGTGACAATTTTTACTGGTTTAATCTAGGTTCAAAGTCTGATTAGTTAATTTATGTTACACTTTTGATTGGTTAATCTTGGTCACAAGTCTGATTGGTTAATCTGGGTCACAAGACTGATAGTTAATTTATGATATAGTCTGACTGGTTAATTTAGGTTACAGTTTTGATTGGTTAATCTAGGTCACAAGTCTGATTGGTTAATCTAGGTCACAAATCTGATAGTTAACTTTTGATGTACTCTGACTGATTAATGTAGCTTACAATTCTGACTAGTTATTTAAGGCATTACCTTTAGTCTTGGTATTTATAACACTTCTTTAGCCCCCCCCCCTCCCCCTCCCCCTTTCCCTCTTCTATTCAAGCATTGCCACTGATTCATTCACTTATACACACAGTCAACTTTCATTTTTTTTTAACAAATCAGATTAATACATGCATAAAATATTAAAATTCACATTGTGGCCGTTTGGTACCTGTTCTAGTTTTACTGTTGTTTCACCTGCTTTAGACAACAGGATGTGGGCTTATAAAGAAGGTCAGCTTGTGAATGAATATCCAAAGTCACTTAGTAGCCTGCGCTTTCCTGAGCCTCCAAAGTTTACTGTGACATTAAACCAGCGAGATGGCAGCTATCGTCTTTACCTGTTTGGAGTGAGTATAGTATATTTCTGACTGGTTAATTTAGATTACAATCTGACTGGTTAATTTAGGTTACAGTTCTGACTGGTTAATTTAGGTTACAGTTCTAACTGGTTAATTTAGTTAGATTTCTAGTAGTTAATTTGGGTTACTATCCTGATTGGCTAACACAGGCTACAAGTTTTATTAGTTTGTTTAGGTAACAATTCTTATTGGCTAACATATAATACATTTTGACTGGTTAGTTTATAGTAGATTGTTTAATAATGATGCATGAATACATCTTTTTTTTTTGGGGGGGGGGGGGCAATTTTATCATATTTTGTAGATTCAGCGCACAACAGTAACACATCAGTTTTTAAAATACATAGACTAGAGTTTAAATATAATACACTGGATTGCATTCTTTTTCATCTTTGTGTTCACTCTGTCAACTCTGGTGGAAAGTTCTGATTGTTCCTCCACTTCCAGACTTTTGTCTTGTTCCAGAGATTGAGTTTTGCGTGCACACACATTTTACAGATCTAGCTGACTTGTATGCAGAGTTTTGGCTCCTTGCTAACGCTCATAATCAGGCCTGTATTTAGGCTATGTGCAACTTGCAGCTGCATAGGGTGGCAAAAGTTTGGGAGTGGCAAAATTCTAAGAGCAGTACAATATAGTGTGTATGTTCATTTTATCTGTTATGTATTCAGTTAAGTGTAAATACCTCAGTAGTACAGTTTAAAACTAAAGTAAATAATTCTACAACTTATTGTTGGTTGTCTGTTAATGAATCCCGATCATGCAGTTTAGCCGAGAGAAAAGGGAATAAAATAAATGACTGCACAGGGGCTGATAAATCCTAAATTTGAGCCTGAAGGTTATAATAATAATGATGAAGAGGAAAGTCTCTCTTCCTCTTCTTCGCATTCACCAGCTGTAAACTCCGGTCGAAAATTCTAGTTTTTCACCTACTTCTGGACTTTTTGAGTGCAAATGTTTTACAGAACTGGCTTATTTGCATGCAGACTGTTGGTTCCTCCCCTCTCAAGCAGATGCACTTTCAAAAACTCCTCCAAAATGGACCCCAGACCCCACATGAGAAGTCGATAGTTATAATTATGGCAATAATGTTGTTGACAGTGGTAATGATACTGATAGTTATTTGTCTTTTTTTTTCCCCAGACAAGATACTTTTGGATGTTTGATGTCGACAGGCTATTCATCGTTCAGCCCCAGCCAATCTCATCCTTCAGTGGTGATCTGCCCCCTGGTGTCCGATTTGCAGCTCGCTGGCTCGACAATCATTTGTATGCCGTTACCAAAAATAGGTCAGTTTTTTCTTATTACTAATACATGTGCATTCTTTGAATACTGAACTATCATGTTTCGTTTCTCTTTTTTTATGAACTATTTTTTTCATCTCACTTCTTATAATTGTATATCTCTGAGTGGGTTCTGAGGCCTCATGAGGGGGGGGGGGGGGGGGGAATTCAACTGCTCCTTAACAAGCATGTTATAAAAGGTGATGAATTGACTTTGCTGAAATTAGATGTATTGGGTCAAAAAGTGCAGATATCACAGCCTAGCTAAAAACCACAAACAAAATGAACCAAAAAAAAAAAAAACATTTGTATAGCCTAATCTGCACTCTGTGCCATCAAAACCTTGCTGGCTGCCTTTCCATTTAATGAAATTTCTTGATATAAATGTAGGCTGCATTGATCTAGGAGTACTAGTGATAAAAATCTGACGAAGGAATCCAAACCTAATACTTTCATGTTGGCATGCAAGCGCCAACTTACTGCGCCACTGTAGCTATATAAACTTTATTATATATATGTAAGGAGAGAAGTATACAATGGAAATGGACAGATATGTAAATTAGGGAGACAACATATCAACTTGAAAGAATCCCTATGTGGGAACTGGGTGTTCCATTGTTGTTGGGGGAAAAGGTTGGGGTAGGCAAACTGCCCCCTTAATAAGTATGTTATAAGAGTCGACTAATCGTGAATTTCCTTCCAAGTGGGAATGAATCTGCCTGAGAGGCAAGGAAACAACAACAGTCTGAATACAAATAAGCCAGGTCTCTAATAAGGATGTGCATGTAAAATTGAGGTTCTGGAATAAGACTAAAGTCCAGAGGTCGATGAACGACCTGAACTTTCTGCCCGAGTCCACAGCCAATCAGTGCTAAGAAGAAGAAAAAGAAACATAAAGAAATGTAATGATTCAAATAAATAAATATCCAGAGCCAAGTATATATATTAAGGGGACAAGTATATAAATGTTAGAAGATACATACTTAATAAATCGCAGACTGTGATCATTTATTCTCATGTATCTTCAGTTATGTGATTATGGACATGGAGACGAGAAGGATAACACATGAAAGCCCAATCTCTGGAAAACCTGAGTGGCTGCAGGCTTTATGTGGGCGAAGCAACCGGTAAGTTTCATGTCATGTTCATATTGTGAGTTTGTCTATACTAAAGTAGTGTGTTGTGTTCATATTGTGGTTTAAATCTCTAGTAAAGTTGGCTGTTGTGTTGTTTTTATCTCTACTAAAGTTGGGTGTCATGTTAACATTGTATATTTTTATTTCTACTAAAGCTAGGTGTTGTGTTTATATTGTATGTTTTTTGTTTACTAAAGTTGCTTGTCATGTTCATATTGTGTGTATTCTCTCTACAAAAATTGTTTGTCATGTTTATATTGTTTTTATTTCTAGTAAGGCTCACATCACATTCTTTCTTTCTACTATTGTGCATTTAAAAAACATCTTCATTGCATATTGGGCATGACCATAAGTGCTCTGATTTCCTGTTGAGTTTGTCTGTAAATTTTTTTAGACTTACAACTCCCATTCTGTTCTGGCTGTAGTACCAATGGGTGGCTCTCTGCTAAAGATAATTGACATGTTGTATGTATTGCCATATATGTTTATGAGTATATATATATATATATATATATATGTACACACACACACACTTATATATTTTAAGTTGTGTGTTGTGTTCATATTATGTGCTTTCCCTCCACAAAAGTTAAGAATCATGTACATTATGTAAGTTTTTACGCCTACTAAAAAAACCAGTTGCTATTTTCTTTTTCCTCTTCTTCATGTTCCTCTGTAAACTCTGGCAGAAAGTTTTGGTTTTATGCTCACTTTCTGGACTCTAATTCTCTTCAAAATTGAGCTTTGCACGCACATCTGTTTTCTGGCCTTATTTGTAAGCAGACTTGTTGGTTCCTTGCCTATCAAGCAGACACACTTTGACTTTAAAAGAGACCCCCAATTAGTCGACTTTTATGACATACTTTTTCGGGAAGCAGTGGGTCTCTTCCTTTTCCCCGCTAATATGGGGTCCAGCCACCAACACAGGGAGTCATATTGAATATTTTTTCCTCTCTAAATAATGTGTTTTTAGTAATATGTGGGTTGACATGTGACAGTATATCCAGATGTAAGCCTGTCTCAAACAGTCACTTTCCAATGACTATTACCAGCCAGAACCAACAATTGACCCCTAACCCTTTCACCTCATGAATGCTTTAAAAAAAAAAAAACTCCTAGGAATTCCTGGAGAAAAATCTTTAAAAAAGCAACAAAGTCGCTAGTAAATATTTTACAAATGTATTTATTTACATTTTAAAATTGTGTCTGAGATATGCAAAGATAAATAAAAGGGTTAAGTAACCAACAAATCTGAACAAAGTGAATCCTTAAATGGAATATCCAACCCTTGGCCTAAAATCAATATGTATCAGGTGACTCATGCCCTGACCTTAGCTTCATATTTGACCCAGCTTTAAATGTACCAGGTAAAGTTCTGGGAAGTAAAGGCAGCTGATATGATGTTGACTTTATCACCCACTGAGTCCCGAATGTTCTATAAATGGTAAGTTTAGCACTATACACCCAATACACCTAAAAGGTGTTGAGTCCTTTACTTATATATCTCCACCTTTCCTGTTATCACATGTTTCATTTTATCCTTTCACCTTTTGTGCCTAAAGAATGTCTATGAACAATAAATGAAAGAGTAAAAACAAGAACCGTGCATGCAAGAATAAAGGACATTTTAAAACCTTTTTTTTTAAAAAATCTTCCACAGAATATCAACACATGTAACAAGTCTTCTTGCTGCTGTTATGTTGGCCAGCGTCATCACGTCATATTTCCAGCGGTGAGAGAAACTGATCCTGCATGACTAATTTGGAGAAGTGTTTTAAAGGGAAACAGACATTTAAGGCTGATTGACTGGCAATCCTCTGGAAGACTGTGTTAACTCCTTATCAGAGCATCTCTAGAAGATCAAGAATGTTAACTCCTTATCAGAGCATCTCTAGAAGATTAAGAGTGTTAATTCTTTATCACAGCATTTCTAGAAGATCAAGAATGTTAACTCCTTATCAGAGCATCTCTAGAAGATTGAGAATGTTAACTCCTTATCAGAGCATCTCTAGAAGATTAAGAGTGTTAATTCTTTATCACAGCATCTCTGAAAGATTGTGAATGTTAAATATTTCTAAGAAAATTTCTAAAAGATTGTGAGTTTGAACTCTTAAGTACGCTGAATATGCATTCAGGTTGTCTAGATCGTGAGAAGATCTACACTTCTTTCAGTGTAAGAATTTTTGAGAACTTTCGTCTGCTCTGTTAACAAAGAAACAATCTCCATGGTCTCTGCTTTGTTGAGTTCTCCTTCCTCTCTCCATTTTCAGAAGCCAAAGGTGTTTGCAAGACCAGAACTAGAACCTCATGTGTGGCATATAAACAGGCATCTATACAAGACTTTTTTGGTTCTAGAAACAATAAATGCTAGTACTCACTGTCTAAAAAGAAAAAAAGAACATAACTAGTAGTTACCACAAAGTGTTCATTACTTTAGCACTGAAGAAATGCCTTAAAACAAAGATGCTGGTATTGTGTACCATTACATACTGCCAGGGGAAACAAAAAATACTCTTGTGTAGATACACGAAATATAAAACAGGGGTACATGTAGTGAGTGAGATATCAAATCCTATATAAAATGTCATTTTGCTTTGACCATCCGCATGTCATTTTTACATACACAGAGGAAGGTGTGTCAAGACATACACAAAGACATAGATAGAGAGAGAGAGAGAGAGAGAGAGAGAGAGAGAGAGAGAGAGAGAGAGAGAGAGAGAGAGAGAGAGAGAGAGAGAGAGAGAGAGAGAGAACAGCAAAAAACATAGAGTGACAGAGAGGTGAGCATATAAAGAGAGGGAAAGAAGAGACATTTTTACTTGTGGCCATTCAGGTGACCAGAAAGAAAATGGGAGAAGCAGAACTAATAATATTTAACTGTCACTCAGGGTTATGTACATTTTCTTATATTTATATTCAAAAACACAATGCAAATATAACAGGATGTGTGTTGACAGCCTGCCAACACAATAGAGTAGATTTACCCCCCCCCCCCCCCCCCCCAAATCAAGGTATGTGCTTCCGACTTGTACATTTCTGAGTTGAATCAAACTTTGCAAAGTGAGTATGCAGTGGTTTATCTGGGACATCTCCATGGTGACATTTGTTAAACTGTTTGCCTTGAACTCTGAATTTTGTGGGTTAATTCTCAGATTAAATCACTCAGTTAAAAAAAAAAATGTGTAGTCAGCGTCTGCAATTGTTTAATGTATAGGAAAAAAGGTCTTGCTACTATCTACTTTGTTGCCAGGCCTTATAGTAGCATGAAAGGGTATGTTTGTATCTGTGTGTGTGTGAAAGAGAAGTACTTCTTTACCAGGGCATTTAGTTTTCTAGAAAGAAAAGAAAAAGGTGCCAGAACTCACCACAAAGTTTCTAAAAGAAAAAGTTTTTAAAGGGTTAGGAAAATATTGGAAAGAGAAGAGGTTGGTAAGAAAAAAACAAACAGTTTATGTTAGCTTTACAAAATCGATCACAATAAACAAACAAAGGACGTTGCGGCAATTAGCCTTCATCAGCATATAAAGAACAATACAGTACACATAAACAAATATGCTCTAACTATGAAGTGACTACAATGGGACTAATGTACAAAATAAATGATACTCATTTGTGTCCCTGGCGAAAAACTTCCTTCAAAAGGATGTCAAGGACAGGTACTGGCGTATTTATCACCAATGCACGGAAATGGACAGAGTAGACGCCCACAAAAGTGCTGGTTCATGAGTGCAATTTTAAAGAGACTTCTGGGATCATTGCTGGCAATACAGAGTTCTTGCTTTGTGTGATGCTCTTGATAGGAGGTCAACTGATCTTTTGCCAGAAGCATCTCAAATCTCAACACAAACAGTTTCACAGATAATTTTCAGGTGTCTCCATACCAATTGCACACATACACTGCTGCAGTCAGAGATTGAAACCCCACAAGTTCATGTCATCAGCAAACAGCTTGGCCATTTTGCCAGGGTGTTCATTTCTGTGTTAATTCAGTCATCATGTGTAATTACTTCTATTTAAAATGTATGACTATGTATAATTGTGTATGTGGCTATTAATAATTACTACTATTTAATATGTATGACTAGGCTATCCTCCGAATAACGGTCGGTAAAGATAGTGGCTGTAAAATATCCTTTCTAGTCCCCCACGCCGCTCACGTGGCGTGGATTGGGGCTAAACTAGATGGCTAGGACTCATGAGCAAAGCTGCAGGAGATGCGCAAGCTGCTGCTCGTATGTCCTAGCCATCTAGTTTAGCCTCAATCCACGCCACGTGAGCGGCGTAGGGGACTCGTGGCGGTAGTCGCCAGAATACTGCGGGAAAACCGCAAGTTAAGTCGCTGGAAAACCGCAAATGAAGTCACGTGACTGAGGCTTAAAAGGATATTTTGCGGTCGCCATATTTACTGACCGTTATTCGGAGGAAAGCCTATGACTATGTATAATTGTGTATGTGGCTATTAATAATTACTACTATTTAAAAAGTATGACTATGTATATTTGTGTATGTGGCAATTAATAATTACTGCTATTTAATATGTATGACTATGTATAATTGTGTATATGGCTATTAATAATTACACTATTTAATATGTATGACTGTATGTCTAATTGTGTGTGTGGCCATTATTCTAATTGTGAGACTGTGTATACATATGGTTGCAGGATGTATTTTATTTTCAGACATTTGTGTGTGTATGCTTGTGCATGTGGCCATCTGATTGTGCATTTGGCTACTTGATAATTGTAGCATTATTTATAAAAAAATTTATGATTGTGTCTATGAGAATTTCTGTTTTGTACTCTATGGTACTGATTTATATATATGCATTTTTTGGATAACAATTTATTTAATTAGCCAACAGAGAGATGCACATTTCTTGAATTAAATGTCAATTTATCACATTTAGCTATTATTAATATTCTTGATTGCAGAATGTAAGTTTTTATATTCATGTGTTTTATGAGAAAATTATCATTTAACGAGCATTATCCTTCATTTTCCTTTACGTTTTTCTTATGACTGTTGTTGCCAGACTGTAATCGGTTTTATCATACAGGTGCCATATATTTAACATGAAAGTAACAATTAATCTGACCATGAGAGCCTCAGTAAAGAATTTTAAAATTAAATATTATGAAAAGGCAATGTTAATTGTTCCTTCTGGTGAAATCAAATCTCTACTGGCACGGCCACTTGGTAGCAGTTTAAACAAACCAAAGAGGTTGCTGTAGGAAAATCTGAAGCCCAGGTGCCTTCCATTTGATCTTACAGTATAGAATCTCTTCATTATCCAAGTGTGTATTCTATTTCCATTGCCTTTCTTACTATTTATTATGCCTACCCAATACCTCAAATTAAAATAATTGTTTCCACCATTTTACTTAATTATCTTGTTTATATATCAAAATCATTAAAAATTATTCTTTAATGTAAAAGTCGTTCTGTGTAGGATGCAATTTTTTTGTTATTTGAAGCCCCACCCTGGCTAACGGTTAAAAAGGGTTTCTGGGACCTCTCCACAGGTAATCCACATCCGCATGGTGGCACTTTGTATCATCTACCTATCTATTTATGTTCTCTGCTTTAAGCCCAAAACTTACTGTGGTTCCAAATTACACATTATCATCACTATGATTGTTTATGTAGTTCAAAAGATCACATTCCTAATTATGTAGCATTTATTGTTTCTGTATTTAGACCCAACATACTGCTATTCAGAAATGTTGTCTTTGAGCCTCCCCAATAGTTTTTAAACGCCTTATTTATTGTTTGCTCAGATCATACAGTTTATTGCTTGTTTATGTATTAAGCAAAAAACTTGATGCTATTCAGAAACATGTATTACTATGCTGCTTCACTAAGTTAGTTTCTTGTCGTTTACAAAATAACACAAGATGAAAAGAAACAGATTATCTTTGACGTAGTCCACTTTTTGGACACTATAGTATGAAACTGCTCCATGTTTGATGTATTATTTTACAGCATGTTTAATGTCTGAGCAATTCTTAAGTTTGTACCAGAGAAAAGTAATTCTTTGAAGCTGTTGAGTGTAAATATAATATTGAAGTTTACTGATTGGAGGGATCACCATTTTTTTTTGTGGGTTAGTAAAAAAAAAAAATGCCTGAACATTTACTCAAAGCATTCATATTCTCATTCATGTATTAGTGGGGAAGTAATTAAGGAAAGTAATGAAGTGTATCCTGTAACTGGCCATGCATGTCATTACAAGCAACTAAGGAAGGTTGGTGTAAATCCTGTAAAAAAACTTCCGAGGACTTTTAACAAGTACACAATTAAGGTTGATTTTTGAAAAAAGTCAGACTATTCAGATTTGAACCCATGACCATCAGATCTGCAGGTGAGCATCTAGCCACTATACATGGCAGCTCATGAAAAACACATCAGCATTAATACAAAAAATTTTTTTTTAAACCCACTAGAGAGCATGTCTGTAGCACATGTATAAAGTTCTGAATCCCCAATCTTGTATTTCTTGTACATGCAGAGCCGGCTGTGGCCAACAATGAATTTGCTCAGTATTTATGTGTCTTATTTGTGAATATATAGTATTTACCACCATCTCTTTCAATAAGCTGCCTATTTATTACTACCATCACTTTCATTCGTACGTTTAAATTCAAAAGAAGCCAGAATTTTCTTCTTCAAAAGACTACCTTGGCTCTCACGTTGACCTACATAGCCTTAAATGGGTACCAGCTGAAGTCGTGGG